TTCGATCAACGATGCCTTCGAAGCATTGCTTTTGTCTGGTGGGAACAATGAGGTATGCAACGGCGAAAACGATCGTCATGTGCTGGGTACTGATAGTTATTCTCTAATGAATCATTTGCTCTACACCGCCTCCGACGACTCGGCCATGCTCTACGCAAACCTGACCACCATCTGCCCTTCCGTGCACGTGCTGGACAAGGTTGGAAGAAGCGCCGCGACGGTCAAATCATTACATCGCGTAAAGGTAAAGGTATATATATATATATCACGGGGCACCACGTATTTTCCCAAAGGCGTTGAAGTCTTGTGACAATACGTAAGGACAACCTAGTAGCTTGTCTCATGTCAAGGGTTTACCTTCTCTCATTGTTCATTGGTGGATCCCATGGTCTTTTGCACATACGTCCGAGCTCAAACAAGTCACGGTACAATTATCTTTATAAAAAATCTCCATGAGCTCGATGATGCCAGGTCACCTAAGCGAAAACAGGTTAACTTTCTAGAGGGGCCTTAGGTTAGCCAAATTTTGACTCGCAAAGCAATGTGTGAAAGCCACGTTTCGTTTGGGGCCGGGGTCCAGTTCAGTGGATCATGCACCCTTCGGGCGGGTCAAACGTCCAGGGTGCACAATACAATTCCGTACCCAATCGAGCCAGTGACAAGTGCTACAACTGGGAAGGTGATTCGTACACCCCTTAGGTGATTTGGAATCAGAGCTGTTGGTCCATTCCCTTAGCTGAACTGCCAGGAGTTCACCGATTAGGTTATAGCCTGGGATGTTGGCTTTTCGTCCTCTCACTTTGGTGGGAAAACAACTCCGTCACGAGGAGGGGCTGTTCCTCAGAGATTATTGCAGATGCTTCGTCGTATAGGAGCATTCAGCCAGTTGCGAGGAGTGACTAGCCGCAACCCGAGACACCTACCACGACCATATTGGGTTTTGGAGGCTGCCTACCTAGAATGCTTGCTTCGTGATACCAACTTGGGAGACACTGACCGGCATGCAGTGTATTTTACACACGTTACAATACAGATTGTCCCAAAAAAAATCATAGTACTAGAATATTTATCAAAAAATTCTAGTTTGGTCGGGGTGGGTATCTTGGGCTAGGGGTGACCGCCCTTATTTTGCACCTCCTGAAATGCTTCATTACGACCAGGAGTCACCAACAACCTCTGACGATGAGTCCCTTCTCAATGCCTTTTCAATGGCTTTTCCCCACCAAAGTGGAGGGGGGGGTTGAAAAGCCAACAGCTGAGGCTATAACCTGGTCGGTGAACCCCTGGCAGTCCACCTGGGAGAACAGGCTGACAGCTCTGATTCCAAATCAACCAAGAGGCGTACGAACCACACCTTGTTGATCGCGGTAGTGATCACCAGTTCGATAGGATATCAAGGGGCTGAGTGCATTGGACTTTGGACCTCGTTCATAGGACGTATGACTTGATGAACTGGACCTCAATGGATAACGGTTTTCACACCACCTTGCGAGTCGGGCCTTCGCTAGTCCAATCATGGTACAATGATCTTTATAAAGAACAACCTTCCGTGATTGACTTGTGAGCGGAATACTGTCAGGTTGCCCAGGCCAAGACAGGTGAATTTTCTTGAGGAATCCAAATGCAGCCTTTGGATAGCCAAAGTCTGACCCGCAAGGCAGCGGGGCGGTGTATGAAAACCGCAAACCATTAGACGGGGTCAAACGTCCAAGGTGCCCAATACACCTCGATGCCCATTCGAGCCCGTGACCACTGCCACAACCGAAAAGGTGGGTGAACTACCAGTAGTCCACCAACCAGGTTATAGCCCGGATGTCGGCTACTCACCCTCCCGTTTTGGTTCAAAACACCACCACGAGAAGGCAGTGAGTAGGGCTTACTCAGCAGAGGTTCTTTGAGACGCTCGGTTGTACGGGGGCGTTTCGCGAGGTGCAAAGGATGATCAGTCGCAACTCTAGAGACCCACCCCCGACCATACTTTCGGAAGCCTTGATTGCTTGGAAGTATGCCACCCATAAGCATATAACTGACCGGCTTCGCAATACATGATCTAATCGAAGTGCTCTTATCTCTACCAACAGCTGAAAAGATGATTATGTATCGTTAAACGTCACTGGCTCAGTGACAGTGCAGCAGTTGAACCTNTTTTGAACCGCTTGGCGATCGAGTTATTCAGATACCGCACGCTCAGTTTGTACTAGACTGACAGAAGCCTGTGCCTACATTCACTCTGGTCATCAGCTAGAAGTTCTCGAGATCTCTAAGCACCTTTGTGGCTTGATCATAACTCGATGCGGCGTTGGGAGCTATGTCCGTCGAGGACAACGTAGAGTCAATTTGGCTCGCCGCCAAATAAGTTCATTGTTTTGCTACTGTGTACATGAATCTTGATTGTGGAAAAATTAGTCGTATTATTCAAGACTGGATAGTACTGGGAACATCACTCAAGCAGGAACCAGACATCTAGCGTGAGGTATCCACAGAAATTAACTAGTCCACACTTACCATGATAATTGAGCCATGGACTATGGTCATGTGGTTTGGGTTATCGCCTTGAATAACATGATCGCTCCCTAAAACAACTTAACTCCAACTTACATTATCTAAAATTCTGATAGGGCAAAATTATCCGAGTAGGTTACGGAAAAAAATAAAGATATGATCTAGCAATCTCTTTTTTTAATACTCCCCAAAAAGCTGGTGAATTAATTGATAAACTGGTAATACATAGACTACTTACCTCTTATCCTTTCCCATATAAACGCCGGGAGTAGGTTGATGGGGTCCGGTGGTCAAACTGTAGTCGACACGTAACACTCGATCATGCAGCTCCAGACCATCAGCACAGGCCGACCGGGCATTTCTCGCATCCTCCATGTTTTGGAAGTAAACAAATGCAAAACCTCGAGAACGACCTTCAAAGAAATGAAACTGAAACTGATGCACTGGCTTTCTCAACCAAATAAGTGAACTTAGCAGTCCCAACCAAATCGATCGATAAGAAGGCTTCTCAAAACAAAAACAGCAGCGGTAAATCGATGTGTGCACCTTGGGTTGGTTAGTTTCGCTAAGTTGATTCAATTATTATTATTATTATTATTCAATTATTACAGACACGTCGATGCAGGTCACTTTTGAATGGTTCTCAACCAAATGACGAGTGTAACCATTTTGTGAAGGAACTGTTTGATATTGTAGGGGTCATTCCAATACGTTGGACAGTACTGTCTTCTTGCAACAACCAAGTATAGGGTCGAACTCGAAATGTGAAAGCCAGAAACGATCGGAATAAGTAGCTGGACGATTATCTCTGCGCTAAAAAGCACTTGACTCAACCGCTCTATCTTCCGTGGGTAACGATTAACCGGAACCGAATGATTCTATATCGTCATCCAGGAAAACGAATTGCATGAAAGCGAAAAATTCATTGGGACACCATGATTGGCATCAATCGCGGTTAACTGTAGCCTAGTGCTTACTATGTAATTGAAAAACTGTCTGAATAAATTACTTTTTGTCAAGAATTTACTGTTCTAAATTGAAGTACGGCTAACAGAAACCGTTGGCATGACAGTAAAGAATTTCTTAAAGTGAAAGGTCTTACCGGTGAGACTGTCGTAAACAATCTGTATGTCCTCCACTGCACCATAAGCACTCATAATATCGTATAGATGGCGCTCTTCCGTCCTAAGTGATAAACCAAAGACTCCCAGTACCTTCGATGGTTTCGGCGCAGCTCCTGGTGGTCCACCACGTGCACGTCCCTCTCCAGAATACCTGGGCGATGATGGCTCTACGGGTCGAGAATCATAACGGGATCGGCGGTCACCATAATCCATCCGATTGTAGCCTTCTCGCTCTGCTCGGGAATCGTAGCCAACAGGTTCATGAGGACGTCCGCGTCTTTCATCATAAGGTGCACGCGGTCTTCTGTACTCGTCGTAATCAGGACTGAAACCAGAGGAATCACAATTAACACCAGGTGTATTTGTCTAAAGTCGCTCGTAAACGTCATTATTCACCAAAACAGATATTCAGAAACAAACCCACAGACTGTTTCTGTTTTTGGATTGCCTTCAACTTTTCAATGCTGGTCTCCTACTACATCTCAGCTTGCTTCTCGTTCAGCGCACAATTGTGATTTTTATTCCGTGCCAGACATTTCTTTATCCCAGCTGTTCTACTGTGCAAAGCTCAAATCCATCCTGCCTTAGAATACTGCAGTCATGTGTGGGATGGAGCTTCATCTTCTTTCCTTTCCCTACTTGACCGTGTTCAACGGAAGGCCATTCGGTTGATCCCTAACCTCCAATCTGTAGCAACTAGTCCATCGTCGGGCATGCTTAACTCCCCTTTGTTCACCGTTAATACTTTGTTTTTTTTCTTTGAAGGCTACCTCGACCGTGCCTTTTCCTGTAACTTACACCACCCCCGTCCCTTACGCTTCCCTGTCTCGAAATCCTAGCGATATTCCGGTCACCGGACGTCAAACCGCTCTGGCTTCAAACATTTTATTCTATCTTCTCCCAACTTACAACGTCACTGTTCAAACTGCTTATCCTTCGATTTACCTACAATCACTCACTCACGAATGAATTACGGCACGCAATGGTTAGGGGCATTCACCCTCATACCAAAATATTGTGATAAAATTAGGCAGGTATCGCATTCCCCGTAGTACTCGAAAAGATCACCATTAAAATAGACCCGTCTCATAAAAATCTCGAGTTTTCTTTTATGATGCTAGTTTCAGTTTGTACAGCCATCAACCATGCACTATCGTGCGACGGTTTTGGTTGCTATCTTTCGGGTGCCCATTTGGATAATAAGGAGAAAAACAAGAAAGGTTGAAAGTAGGATTGAAGAGAAAATTGAGATGCACGAATGCCACTTTTTACAACACCCAGTCACATCACTGTCTCTAACTATCGGGTACGACCATCCCGAGGTCCCCATCCAGGGAGCCTAACGGGACCTGTGACCTAGACTCCTGGTTAAGGTTTTCATACCCTCATGCCAGGTCTCAGATGGACCACCCTGGGCTTCATTCCACCCACTACCTGCCTCGGAATCGCTCACCGTGGCAAACTATTTGGTGACATGTGTAACACATCAAATAAAACCAAAGTATTCTATGGAGATCGACCACTCGATCCAGTCGCTGACGCTGCCTTTCTCTGAAAGATGTGCCTCATAAGTTTATTTCAGGATTATGATCCCTCTGTACTCAAAGCCGAAGTCCGAGCTTACGGTACGTTTTCGCCCGAGTTCACCACGGAAAGTGGTGTTCGACAGGGCTGCCCTCTCTCTCTATTCTGATTTTACTTTGTTATAGATCTGATTATGGAAACAGCCCGAGGATAGTGGCGTCGATTTACACCCAGGTGGCAAGTTACTAAGTGAAGATCCAGGTAAGTTGCAAGCTTTTCTGGATATTTTGAGTGCTAGTGTAGCGATGTTCGGCATGCGCTTTCACTTTCAAGGTGTAAAATGTTACTACAACACTGGGTTGGTCCAGCCTCACTCTAACTGGGGAAGTAATAGAGCAGGTGGATAAGTTTTGTTATCTGGACAGTTACAACTTACCCGGTGAACGCACCACGAATGAAGTATCTGCTCGCATACCGAAAGCTCGGTTGGCATTTGCCGAATTGAGACATCTGTGGCGCCGCCGAGACATCCGGTTGTCTGTGAAGGGTCGAGTGTATGCTGCAGCCTTTCGGTCAGTTCTGCTATATGGAGCAAAAACTTAACCATTGAGAAATCAGGGTAGACTGTCGGTGTTCGAGCATCGCAGTCTACGCGGCATTGCATCCGGACGAGCAGTGCTGGGGTCAGGCGAAGAGATCTAGGCAACCGCGGTCGCCCTCTGCAGCAAGTTCAGTTTAGTTCTTACAACTATTAACCATGCACTTTCGTGCTCCGGTTTTGGTTGCCCATTTGGATAAAACAGCAGAATGAGGTTAGGCGAAGCGGGCCTCATAGACCAGATAGGACCTCAGATTGGACAACGGAGTAACTGTTTGTCAAGCAAACCGTGAAGGTTCATATCTTAGAGCGAAAACCGCAAACCGATGAATGACTTCAAGTGTGAACAGTGCGCCCTTGAAGTGAGTTGCAACGGCAAGTTCTAATGGGCTTCGGTAGAAGGATCTCGAGGATGCGCAGACAACATATCTATCCGACGAATACAAACCATTGATTGATAAATTCCAGGCGATTATTATTGTGCTTAGCAGTAATCTGATGATTTAGTTAGCACCTACGCACAAATATTTATCAAGTGAAAGGTTTTGAAACCCATTTAAATACCAATTGGTTGCACATCCATAGACGATATCTGGATAATGGTTACATCTAGGAATGTGCATCTATTACTTCAGCTAAAACCATACCACACTTTACCAGTGCACTGACGACGTTACCTAGGAATCGTCAGCTAACACCAGCTCGAAAAACAAACCAATATTTCGCTGGTCCATTTGTATTCTTGGCATTCCATGCAATCGCTCTCGTGCACGTTTGCTGGTGACTCACTCATTCGTTTTTCGACTGGCAGCTTCTGCCCGGGGATGGACGCATCTACTGGTTTGACATAGCGCCTGAGGCCGTTTGATCAAGCACTAGATCCAATTCGTATTTTAACCCCGGGACTGTTACGAGCACTTTGCAGTCACCTACCTTATTACTATTCGACAAAATCAGCAATCGCATGACAGCAATCAAGACAACGCACGAAGCTGAAAGTCAATGGCTGTATGATCTAAGTAAACTGAGAACAAATAGAATCTGACCACTGTTGCACAATACACCCATGTATCTTCGCAAAACAACGCCAACCCACGCAGACGACCTCAGGCGCAGTTTCCCAGATCCCACATCATGGTTGTAATGTACGCGTATTCCTGATCAGGCGATCACGACTGTAGGAATTCAGTGATAAGAGTGTTACATTGCACAAGTTCGTCTCGTGTTCCGACCCTACAGTCAACCTCGGGGAGTGAGCAATACCGATGGTAATCTTGTTTATAATCAAGTTTAGCAGCAACTTTCACAGAATAGAATAGCATTGTGAACTGGATAGGATTCCGAGACAACGGTACTAATACGGGGAAGGGGAGTGCGTAGTTTACTTACGGATAGTCCCGGCCTCGTGAGCGAGAATCGTACTCTTCATGACGCGACGCGTTCCGACGGTCCATCTCGGGCGATTGAGCAAACGGCATTCTGGATCGGTTCAAGAGAGTAGACGATACAGAAACCATCTTGGTCGATGTGGCATTTATTCAGAGAAATCAAAACATCTTCATTTTCATTCCAATAGCGGCGGTTTTCTGCAGGTGAACTTGCCACGTATTTGCATGCGTGAGCGAATAGTACTAACTTCATAACCACGATGCAGATAAACTTGTAAGTGCTGGAAGCCCTTCAAACCTAATGCAACAAGTGGACATTCACCCGGAGGTCGTCGGATGGAGCCATACATCAAGAGCATGGACAGGCCATATGGAGTGCCCGTAGGACACAAGATTCACCAAGCTATGGCCGGTGAATCTGAAGGAACAAAGTCAATTACTTCAAATTATTTCCTCAAGAACATTCAGCGAGACTGATGGCATCTTGAGGTTTAAAAAAGGAATTTGCAACTGGATTTTGAGGCCTTCAACCGCCGGTTTGTTTAGGAATTGAGACTTGCTGGTCTTGAATTAAGTTTATTTTGCACTTTCATGAAGATCTTGGAAAAACGTTACGTCATAGTACGCCGCACTGCCCCACAAAAAACGCATCAACAAAGAAACAACGACGCACCAACGGAATAGACGGCAAACACCCGACTAAAACAAACTATCCCGCCATTACAACCTATTGAAAACTTTCAACTCACATTGAAACCAGTAGCACTCCGAAGAGCAAATAGAACTAATAGATGATGATAATGAAAAAATGGTATATAACTGACACCAATATCTCTTGTTTACTGCATTTCATGTCAGGTCAGGTATCCAAGGGCGAAAGGGCTTTCGCAAACCAAGTGTCCAGATTCTTGCTTCGGTAGGAAGATTTATTCTATATAAGCTTCAAACTCGTTTCAGTCGCTGTCTTGCAACTGTTTTACGGTAGGGAACTGGTTCCAGTACGATATCTGTACGGTAGATTAGTTGAGAAACAAGAAGCATTTCAACTCTAAACAGGTCAGGTCGTGTAAGAGGACTTGCGGCAGACGCAATTACACTCTTGACAGTTTTGAC